TGCCACCTTTAAGCCCTGCATTGGTTCCGTGTGCTGGGATTGGGTTCTGGGGTCCCATGTGTTGGGTTTGGACCCTGCATGCCTGACCTAGCACACAGGGCCTGGGGCTCCCCACAGGTCCAGAAATTTGTTAGTAGGAGGAGCAGTGCCACTCCTCTGATGCTAAATTTTTGGACCCATTGAGAGGTTCTCAGGCTGGATGACAAGCTGCTGGGGGATGGATCTGGCCTCTAGGCCAGGGATTGAGCACCCCTGGCCTAGGTAAATTAGCTTATTCTCCTGTCATGAAGAAATGGCTAATCATGGCACAGAAGGGGGAAGAAATGTGATATCAAGATTGTGCAGAGTATGAGACCCAGGGAATCCCTTGCAGATCTTGGTGCATTCCAGTAGAATGCCTGCTAGTCCCAGTGGGGAAGTAAAAGCCATGAAGCTGAAGTTCATTCTTCAGGGAGCACCGTTAGCATTTGCAGGGATTGTCAGTGCACCACAACACTGCACAGAACTACTGCTCAGCTCTGAGCATGGCTTCATCTGGCCTTGCTCCTCAGTATCCCACAGTAGAGGGTCTACAGTCATCCTAGAGAAGGGGCAAAACATATCAGGTGCCTCCTCTCCCCTCCCCCTGCTCCCCACCCCCATTTTCACACTGCTTGCACAAATTTGGCTGGCACTTGCACTCATTTGTTTCCCTCCTTGCTTCACAACACTGGAGACTGTAAGAAGTCTGTGAAAACTGATTGTGATTTGCTTATCAGGAATGATGCCAATGATTCTTTTGCAATCAGTAGAATTAGAGTGGGGGTGAAATATTTTCTTTCTGGTTGGTGGACTAAGGCTGCGGTTTGAAAAATAAAGGTATTCTTGAAAGCATTTGTGTTAATTATTCCATTTTTAGAAGTCTTAGTAAACTACTGAAGATTATTTCTCTATATCTGCATTTCTTGAGTTAGAGGTTGCAACCCCAAGTAGGGGCTCAGTATCCCTTCAGTGGGGTCAAAGGCATTCTTACTTCTATCAGTCCAGTGGAGGGGGGGTTGTGAAGTAGTTGTTGGTGTTAGAAAGGGGTCTTTGCCCCTGTAAGTTTGATAACCATTGCTTCATGTCATCTGAATGCCAGGGTTTGTTCCTTCACCACTTCTAGGGATGAAGAGTACTGCTCTCTCAAACTACCTTTTCTTCAGGCAGCAGCTGATAAGAATAGCGTCATAACTCATGAAAGAAAATGCATTGGAACAATACCCTTCTGAGGTGTGAGCCATCAGAGTTCACCGTGGTTCTCTCCTATTCTTAGTTTTCCAGTGATGCAAAGCTTTATTTTCTAGTGCCTGTGGAAAACAGGCTTTTGGGCCTTGCAGTCATTTCAGGCTAAAACCATTTTATGCATGCCCCTTTTTTTTTGTTTGTTTTTAAATACCCATGCCAGTCTGACATTGGAGTGGTGTAACATGTGGTTTTTGTTTTGCTCCCCATCTAGTTTCTATCTTTGAGCCCAAGGTAAAGGTAACATTAGAAATCCACAGGTGTATCCACATCACTTTTCTTAATCATCATAATAACAGTCATCTTCCTATTGCAGTCACAGAATGTCTCTCCTCACATGGAGGAGTAAATGGGTATTGTGTAAAATGTATTGCATAGCCCTTGATCCTCAGGTCTCCTAAACCTGGGATGTTCAAACCCTGCATCTGGCCCAAGGAGTCATGTTGTCCAGTTCACTGGGCTTTTCCTCCTGGTTCTGAAAATTTGGTAGTGGAGGAGTGGTGGCAGTGTTAACTGCTGCTCCATTACTGCCAGATTTCCAGGCCTGCGGGGAATACTGTGAGCTGGAGAGGAAGGCCTTGCACACTGGATTGGACGAAGTGGGATCAGGGTGATAACCCTGTGGATTCAGCTGCAAACCAGTGCCACTCTACTCATCCAGTCCACAGGCCTAAAAAGTTGAGCACCATTGTCCTAAACCATTAGATGAGAGTAGCTCCTGAAGAAAAAGATGGTACTGGTTAGATTTTTTTATAGTTTATAAAGAAAGGAATATAGTATCTATTGTTTCTAGGTCAGCTGTATCAGTTCCCAGAAAAACTTGTGTTAAGTGGCAATGAGGCTTTGATAACATGTGCACTTGCTAGAGACTTGCTTAGATTTTCCTGGTATGTGGATCTTTTCAATGGGGTGCCTCTGTCATGAATCAGAAGGAAAGCTCACGAGCTGCCAGATGCATAATGGAATTGTTCATTTGTTTACAGAAGTGTGTGTAAGCCTTTGTAAAAGAGTGATGTTAGGGAGAGAGACAGAGTAGGGACCTTTATTGGTTGTAGCTGAGAGAATGCCATGAAACAACACAGGATTTAGTTTCAGGGAGAAACAGGCAGTTTGTATTACTGCCAGTGTGCATGTACCATTTGGTTGTTGTGAGCAGGACCCCAGATATTCACTTCCTAGTAAGTCATAACTTGAAGTTAAAGTAGCATTTGTCTGGTCCGGCTACAAACCACATAAGGCAAAATATTTGAAAGCTGTAATGTTTTCAATGCTTTCTTTAAACCATGTGCATTGGCTTTCAATCCAGTGATGTAAATTTGAGTGTGGCAAATACTGTGCTTCCTCACTGCAAGACTACTCATTATAAAGGACCTATGGTAAAAGGCATTTTAGTATCAAGTAAATATGAACTGGAACTAACACCTTGGCTCCAAGCCCACCTGCAGCTTTGGAAAAGTTAGGAGTCAGATTTGAATCTTGTTGGTCAAGCCCATTTCTTGTAACCTGTAAAAGTTGAAGGAGCGACAGGTTATAAAACTATGTTATTAAAAAAAGTTATTATTTTTATTATTATTTTTACCTGTTATTTTTTTGTCTGTTCCTGACTCACGACCATTCTTTCCCCAAGGTTAGTAATGTGCAGAAGCAGTTTTCTTCAGGGCACTTGTGGTCAAAATAGCATGCACTGATCCATGTTACTAAGAATGTTTCTAGTGCTGAGCAGCTGTCACACTGGTGTATTTTTACAGGTCCAGCTTCCCTTCTTAGGGGAGAGGTTTGTAGTTCCATAAAGGGCCATGGTTTAGGGTAGCATTAATGCTCCATGAAATCTGAAAATCTGTGAACCAATCTAGTTTGGAGCATATCAAGCCAGGCTAAGTGAACTCTTGCCCCACAACCAA